TAAAAAGAGATCAAAAGGATTCGTAGTACTAATCATACCAACTGATGGTTACCATCGGTCTTTGGTCGAAGAATTCTTCATCATAAGCAGTCAACAGCAACGATGTTCAATCCGCGTTTTCATACTAAGAATAATGTCGATTTCTTTTTATGGTATTTTAACGAGGCTTTGCAAGGAATTGTTGCTTAACGAACGATATGATTCATATGATATAATCGCATATTGTGTCATAATGAGTTAGACATCAAAATGGATTCTTTAGATAACAGAGTTTATTGAATCTAAATTTTCGTGTTTAAATCAACAATCTGAACGTGTTCAGTCCACACAAGGATCTTCGATATTAGCTTCGCAGATGTTGATTAACATAAATTGTTTCTTTAGAGTCATCTCACTTTCGTGCAACCTTACGATATAGATTAGTTTTGCCATTTTGCGATGTGATGCTTACGTTCATAACGTATCAGAGAGTCTTACATTTTTCGTTTATTCTTTTGTCTCTTGCCGAGTACGAAAATTCAACTTGTGTCTACGCTCGATACGATTTCAGTACTAACAATTGTTGTCTACTGAGAATTTTAAAATAGTCAATATACACCAATTAAATTCTCATTACCTTTCATGGAGGAGAGGAATGCGGGAGTCGTGGATGTGATTGACATTTTTTTAAATCAAATTTTGATCCGAAGATCGGGTTTAAAACCATTTGCTTCGATACCAAATTGTAACACTCTAATCCGTCCAGGTCTGCAGCTCCTTTCGGATTAAAGTATTAACTTGGTAATCGAAAAATTTAAAAACATTTTCAAACACTTTTATTTATTTATCACAAGAATAATATTCATATAATAAACAATACAGAGTTTTTAGTATTGCAGAAGTTTAATAAATCATAATGATAAAAATAATTTATTATTGTCATTCATTTGAAATTATCACATCCATCCCGACTATCTCACCTCCGTCTGCCTCCAAGATCACTTCACATTATTTGTTCTATTTACCCGCGTGTTGCAAATAAAACATACTACACACTCAGTGTTGAAGCTGAGTAAGCATATCTAATGCGTCATAAATCCATATAAATTGAATCTCAATTCATAATCAAATCATTTGATATCATGCACATAATGATGAATTGAAGCATTCATCATTCATAATATTCACAATATTCAATTCAAGTCATTTATCATTCATAATATTCAGAATATTCCATTCAACTCATTTCATGATATAACATTTCATATTCAGTATTTCAACAATGCTCTTAATTTATTCTAAATCTAAGGCACAAATTTTAACCAACTCTTAAACAAATTCTAGTTTAAGGTTTTTAAATTATATTTCAGTTTAAGGTACTCCTAAACAATTCGTAAGCTAGGCCTAGTTTAAGATACAAATTTTCAATAAGGTTTTCAAGATCTTAAATTTACTTTCGCTTAAGGTCAACCTGAAATCAAACATCGGAATGCTCACTGTCGGGTTGGGTGGTATCCCCAAACAAGTGATCCTCAAGTTTGGTTTGTGGGTCTCGACGTCTCGTACATAAGTTTTTACTTAGGCCACTGAATATTCATAGTAATACCTGCAAGACCTATTTTTAATATATATCTTAGAGATCTTCTAGATAACATTAGAAACCAATGCCAACATAGATATATCTTAGAGTTCTACTAGTTGTGCTTTACAATACGAATCATTTCATAATCATCAATGTCATCATTTTAAACCATTGTTCAATCATTCACAATAATCATTTTAATCAGTAGGTTCATCAATATTTAATCTTCAATTCATCATAATCATCTATAATAATAATAATTATCATAATATTCAATAACAATTAGCGGTCTAGCGTCAAGTGTTATCCCTTTAGCTTACCGTCATGCATCATATAAGGTTATTGGGTATTTGAAAAATCATATTTATTTCCAGAAGTCATTTCCATATTAATCATAATTGTTTGGTATCAAGAATATGATTTAATATTTCAAAAATAATTTTTCTGAAAAGTTTCTCTAGTTCATGCACATAATAATCGATCAAATCGAAGATAGGAAATCGATTAATCGCTATTCACTTCAAATGCTTCGGCGACAAACAAGGTTAATTGATTAATCGAAGATGGAAAATCGATTAGTTACTACTGATTTCAAATGCTTCAGCGGAACAATCAATTAATACATTAATCAACATGAATTAATCAATTAATCAACATAAATTAATCAACATGAATTAATCAATTAATTGATTAATTAGCACGAGTTAATCGATTAATATCTATGTTCATCAACTTTTTCTTCGGGTCCATTTTCAAAAATATCATTTTTAGTCACCAAACTTCAATTATGATATATAGAAATCTTCTCTAATGTTTATAGATCATGTTGGTATCATTACTTCATAGTTTAAAAATCAATTTCAAGGTTTATGATTCTTGGTTCTTTAAGCATGTCAAACACAAAACTCAACCAAACAAGCATTTATGAACGTAGAAACAATCTATACGAACATTCTAATCACTAGATATATCTACGAGCTTACCTCGAAGCTTAACGGAGATTTTGAAAATTTTCTAGGCAAAACTTCCGGTGATGATTACTCTTAGCTTCGGCCACTTCACACCAAAATGACAGTACCACTATATTCTCGTAACTTAGAACAACAGAATAGAAGAAGAAATTACAAGAGTTGGTGAAGAAATGTGGAGATTGAGTATAGCTTGAAGGATGGGATGAAGCCAAACATCTTACTGTGGTTTATGTGTCATTGAGGCAATCGTAGTGGAGCAGACAACGATATTGGAGATACGATAGGGTGTAATTTTCTCCAAATTATTGGCACACTTTGTGGTGTAATTTTCTCCAAATTGAAATCTGTTTGTACCGTTTATCAGACAGTTAATAATTTTCATAATTATTTGTAATACTTTTCCCGACATCATATTTTTAGGTGTTTGACTTTGACAGAATCAAAATTTATTTAGTTGACCTTTATCCAAAAAGGTTCTCACATTCAACTCGTGTTATTTGTTCTCATGATTTATTTCAACAAATCATTTTAAAGTTCACATCATAACAAAATCTTCATTCATTCTTAATTTGAGTCTGTACCCTAATTCCCAATAAAGATCACACAAATAGTCAACATATTAAATTTATCTCTATGAGATTTATCGAGATTGTGATATTGGATATTAGAACATATTTCATTTCGACCCAAAGTCCAACAATAATTTATTTTAATCAAAACAAATTTAATTAATTAAATAATAATTCAACAATACTTTTAGGGTATGTTTTGAGCGTTATCATTCAAGTACTATTCAGGAAATAAAAAAGTTTAAGTACTAATTTGAAAATGATACTCTCTCCGTTCACAAATAAACCTTACGTTCACTATTTACAGGATCAAACTTTATTCACTTTGTTGGCCTATTTTCGTCACCCATTTGATAAATTAACATAGTCATGTCACCTCTAGTTTTGTAGATCTTTTGATATAGTTTTTTAATATGTACGGAGTAATTTTTATTTTTCAATTCTACACCATTTTTCATATAAAGTAATTTGAAAATAACTACAGTTAAATATCATAACACATAATATAAAGTTTATTTGTGGACGGAGAGAGTATAATTTCAATACTATTTAGTAGAAATTTCATCATAATAAAATGCTTGCCATGTGTAAAAAGGAGTGTAAAGGTTGATCATCGGAAGTCCTGATATGAGAAGTACTACATGTCTACATGTACACTCCTCAAAACTTACAATATGCCTAAAGTTTTGAATCACAAATAATTCGATCAATTTGTGATATACTTTATTTGTTCCTATTTAAATTACATGTTCATTATTCAAATCATCAAACTTTAACCAACATTTTTTTACTTATTTTCATTACTCATTTGACAAATTATATATTAGTCATCTCCTTTTTGTTTTGTATAAATGTTAATGTTTTAATATATACTCCGTGATATATATTTTTAACGCTACACTAATTTTTTATATTATTGGATTGAGAATAATTTCAATTAAAGAGTATAAGAACCATACAACTTAAATTGGAATAAAAGAAGAATAAGATAGGCAAGATTAGTCTATATAATTTTAAACTTGAAGTGTGCTATAAGAACACATGTGGCATTTCCCTTTCTCAATACCATTCTTATCCGGTTTTATCTTATGATGATATCTTAATTTGTTGTTTGTAATATTTTTCAATTAGATTAGCACTTAAACTTTACTCCTAGAGTCCCTAAAAAACCTTATTTTCTTTGTCAAACTTTTCTTCTTTCAATTAAAATCACGAGATTATCACTAACAATTAGTAACTTACTTATCACATCATATTTGTTCATTAATCCATATTAATATGTGCCTGTTTGGGAACAGCGTTAGCGATTAGCGTTAGCGTTTTAAAAAAGCTATCAATGGACAGCGTTTAGCGTTAGCATTTTCAAACCGATCTGCACCGTTAAAATTTTATCCAAAACGCTAACGCTAATCTCTAACGCTATTCCCAAACAGGCCCTATACCAACTATATATTATTCTCACTTTTAAGAAGGCTAAACAAAAAAACAGCATCTAAATTACACCTCTTAAATATCCCTTTTCTCCAAAGTGAAAGTCTTTTTGAACGAAGGTATTACATATTCAAAAGTTCCCAAGCCACGACGCACAATCCCGACAAGAAGAAATCCGAACCGACTCCCCCTTTTCTTTTCCTTTATCTTTTTTTCCTTTATTCTACTTTTTCTCATTGATCCTTTATTTTTAATAATTAATTCAATTTTATTTTGAAAAAAAAAATACACATTTAAAAAATCTAAAGGGAAAAAGACAGGTAAAACATTGAAAATATAACAAAAGCGATCCAACAGTTTGATGTAAGAGTGACAGAGTGTAAGAGTGACAGAGAAGAGGTACAAACAGAAGTATACACTATCAGCACTCCACCTCATCTTGCAGGAGAATTTCATAGATGTCTGTCCTTAAATTGAGCTCTTTATCCCGCATTACTTCTTGGAGATCTGAAAGCTCCTTTGCACTTAAAAAGGTGTTCAGCTTGAGGAAACCATCAAGCCATAACCTTTTTGACCTACATAGAAAAGGCAGCATCTGTAACTCGTCTTAATTTTAAGACGAAAAAGAAGAGAGAAGCATTTAAAATACTACTCGCTCTGTCCAAAAATAAACTTCTAATTGTCTTTTTCAGCTCGTCCCAATATAAACTTCCCATTTCCATAAAGGATATGTTTTCCTTCAATAACTCTACCCATTACCCCATCCTTTTTTATTAGAGTGCTCAAATTTTGTGCCAAAAGCAATTGGCCCACTCAAAAAACACTGATGAGATAGCTTCTGGGACAATGTAACTATTACATCAAGTCATCAACAGGGAGGATGAACTCACCAGGGGCAAGCGTGGACTGCTCGAAAAAAAACTCTTTTTGTAGCTGATGTGTCACAAGTTATATCGAGTTCATATGCAATGTAGCTGCGCCAAATTATCACTGAGTTGCATAGTTTCTCATTTGTTAATACCCTCTCAAAAAATCTGCGTATTCTATGCTGAGAGCCACCTCTACTCATCTCAAACGTTAATGTGAAGAGCCAATTAATGACTGATGATTTCCTAGATTTTTAAACAGAAAGATCAAGAACATGAGTCAATAACTATGAGATTGATCTAATACACTATGAAAATAGAAGGGCATGTTTAGATAGAGTCCCATACTTTTTGATAGTTTGACTTCACTGAGATGTTTAGAAAGCATGTTTAGATAATAATTGAACAGGAATTCTAGATGATGGCTGTTCCTTCTTCTTTCTGCAGAAATACATTTAGAACAGTTATATATGGGAAAAATAGTCATGAGTACATAAAAATTACTCCCTTCATCCATCCTCTTTGGTTCTTCCCACTTTCATTTTTAG